AAGAGGAATCTTAGCAGTACAAGTGATATTATGTATGTATTAACATTAACAGTCGGGATTTTGTATTTTTTTTAGAAATGTACTTTGTACTTGTAATTCATCTAAAATATTAAATTAGGATTGAAACACAACTTTGAGGTTACATTTTTGGTACATTGGATATTTAATATAATGTCCAATTCTTCCTATTACAAGAAAACTTGTAAGAAGGGTACAACCTACATGTTTGTTGCAGGTAGGCAATGCGATGTTCAAGCTGCTGCAATTTCGAAAGACTACCTTATAGAATCGCTAACATGTCATAACCACCCAATTCAAATCCTACAGCCTACAGCCTTGCAGAGGAGGCTACACTACTGCAGTCGATCTTCTTTTCTTTTTGTAGAAGCTTTTATCTATAATGTACGTGTTTAAATTATTAGCAACCGAGTGGTAAGGTGTACTTGTACTGTATATAATTTTCGGACAAAATATCACACCTTTAGGCCCACAGACTTCTGTTAGCTTAGGCGGTGAAGAAACTTTAAAGCCCGCTAACCTTAAGTTGCTCATGGACCTCAATAATTGCTCGTATTTATTTATTGCTAACCAATTGATGCAACTACCGATTAGTCCACTTTTCCCAATGTTACATAAATCACCAAAGACAGCCAAATCATTTCAATTTTATTATATTCTCCCAAACGCCGAATATATCCTGAAAGCCACCACATCTTAGTCTTAGGCTTAGTTAAACTGTTCTAATAGCAGAATTGAAAAATACTTATTATCAACAATTTAGTACACTCAGATAACGTCAGCCCAAATTCTTGATTAATCTAACATATAAAACAGTAACCTATATAAGTCATTATGTAATAATGATTATCAATTTTTAATTATTTAGAAGCGACCGATTTGCGATCACCGCATTCAAACTTGTGCAATAGACGATTGATATCATGTAGCAACTGGCAACATGAAAAGGCGTTTTGCGAAAGAATAAAAAAGGAATGGCTTTCAGTTAATGAAAGCGTTTGAACGACTGATGTAAAGAAACCGCACGCATGAAGTCTACACCTACAATGACGATCATTTTATATGATAGTGCAGTCATTTATAATTATTGATATGTTGAGCAACGACAAGCTCGAACAAGATTCATGGCCAGAGAACACCAAATTCTAACAACTTTGGAGAATGATGCATTTGGTGGAAGTTAATGCGCCAATCGACACATGACACTATACGACGACAATATGTAATTGATATTTTTTCTATAATAAGTAAATTCAATAATAGTTAAAAAAGCTCTATTTCGGATAGTAGCATGTTTATCAGGTACCCAGTTTGTAAATGTGTCGATTTCGGCTGCAGCTGATTGCAGGTTTAGCGACATTATACAGTATTACATAAATTATATCTTGAGGACATATTAAACTGTAACTTGGGAGCAATCGAAAATATACATTATACATCATTTTTGAATAATATAATATCAAGTTCGTCATTAGCGACCCTGAAAACATCTAAAACTTATATTGGAGCTCGATCAAAACTTTTATTTGAGCTCGATCAAAACTTTTTTTGCAAAGATTAAATTCGTCATTTTGATTCTTGACAAATTTCAGATTCTCCACATGTCTTTTTCACATATGCATTAAAAATATATGCCTAATTTCTCGTATTATGTGTCTCGCCAAAAACGTCAGTGACTTCAACATCCGACAAAAATAATGGTCCTGAATGTCATCTCGAGAAAAGAAAACGTGTCCAGTCATTAGCCATTGTATCTCATACAAAGGACCGGTTTGATCTGGAAGGATAAGACGTTCAGAAATTCACAACAACCACCTGTACGGATTTTGGGATTTATCATAATTCATATACCTGCACAATGGGCCAGACACACGAGATAAGATTTTATATAAAGCCGCGAATAAAAGCGTCAACCGTGCCCAAACAATCGACTGGGAGACTATAAGGGAAAGGTTCCCATAGCTGGAAAGGAATCCACTAGCGTAGGAGGGTTTGTAAAATCCGATATGTGCATAAAGTCTTGTACGGAGTATTAAGTCCAAAGAGGATTTGTTTCGACTGCGTAAATCATCACATTATCAGTGTGCGAAATGTTTGTGGAACAATCACAAAACAGGAAACTAGCAGTGTCATTCTCCTTGTATAATTTTTAAGAAAAAAGGGAGATCATTGAAGATGGAAGAATAACACCTATTTTAGATAATTTTAAAAATTAATCAAAAAACGTAGTTTGATATTTTAAATTAAGTTCGTATATGGAAAGTCTTGGTTATGTAGTTGCAAAAAAACAGATTGTATTGTTGGCGATGTCTTCTGTTTTATACAGAAAAATGGGTCGACCAGCAGCGGAGTCAACGATTTAAATAGTTTTAAGGCTCTAAAGAAGAGACATGAAATTTCTCCGTTACATATGAGATGTGTAGCCAATTTAATTCAGTCTGGCAAAACAAGTATCGAAAGTTGTCTTAACCAAGCTTTTAGGCCGCACACTTCTAGATACCGTATGTTTTTTGGCAAAACAGGAATTACCGTTCATTTTGAAGGGGATGACTCTGACAATAGAGGAAATTACAGGGAATTTTTAACATTCATTGCCAAAAAAGATCCAAAATTTTCCGAACATCCAGAAACGTCGACTGTTTTTTCAGACGGCTTGAATTAGTCATAGCATAAGACGATGAGGTATATCAAGTGCCCCAGACGCTCAGTCCAGGAATGTTTACCTTAATTTATAAATAGTTTAAATAAAATACCTAAGATAAGCCAAAACATTTTTTGGAGGTTCAAAATGAACTCTTTTTAATCATATTTTTCACATCTGGTTTTGGTAACAATTTAGGAAAAGTCACGCGTACCGATTATTTATTTGCAATTTTCGGGCATTCCTTCAGAAATCTTAAAGCTGGTTTACTAGCCGTAGGTCTTTTGAAACGTTCCCGAATAATGTATTTCTTCAAGAGTAAGCTTTCAATGATTGCCGCAATAGAGGACTAGTTTTTATCTGCGCTCTGTGCCACAAATTTCGCTCTGTATAAACGAATAATCTTCATTATTATCACTTTGTGAAATGTATCGCCAATATCGGAAAGCGGTACATGTAATAAGCGAAATGTTATCGGTTCGTAACGCTCTGGGTGGGCAAAATAAACAATAAATCTTATTAATTGCGTTTTCAATCCGCAAAATCGTTTTATTACTCAGTTAAAAAAATATAACCTGTGAAACCAGACTGGACACAAAAAATCCTTCTGTAAATTGCCGACTTCATCCAAGCGGAGCAAGATCAATGAAAATTTTCAGATTGACTATTGATGGTATACGAACAACGAATTATTTTTTGCAAACTGAAAAAAATCAATGTGAGTACATATTAGATTGCAAAGATTATTTTTTGTTATGGGATGTGTGGTTACAGATCGATTGAAGCGACACACATCCTTTCACAAATGAACTGAATAAAGTAGATAGTTTCTGTACTTAACATGCATTAAAGTTAATATTTTTCATAGATATCCACCTTGAATAGAATGAAATTTTCAAACACTTTTTCGAACCTAGATGCTCGATACAAGCTCGTTTCATCAGTAAATTGGATGGGTAGATCACGAATCTGATGTCTTCTTTTTTATTCCTAATCGGGATTTGTGACACTTTAGCATTGCATTTACAGCTGCTGCTCAAGAAAGTGACTTTATACTAATGAAAAGTGAGGTGGGTGGATCATGGAACGCCATGCTCTTGGTAAGGCCGAGTATTAAAATGTCGTAGCCATTGCTGCTATAACAAATTTCTACTCACACTAACATCATTCATTAACGTATTCCACCTATCATCAAATAACATCCTATATAAATTCATTGAAAGAAAATTACAGTTCATTGATTTTGCAGTTGACCAATTATATTTTTCGATTACCTTTTGAATGTTCTACGGCCATAAATCACTGTCGATGTCGAAGCATGACCCAGAGGCATTAAAAACCATTCCCAAAAACATCATAAGTTGCAATACCTATTCTTGTGTTGTCTCATAGAAACCATTGGAAACTTTTTAGACTTACTGTTTTCTTGTTCTGTACATTTTTAGGACAACAGTGTCCACTTAATGTGCAACTTCTGCTGCTAATCGAACATCTAGTATCAAACTCCAGCTTTTCGTCATATTTGAGCTTTGCCGTCTTCTCAGAAAGTATGAAAACTTCATTTGTGATAATAAGCAATATGGTTGACATTTATACCTGTCAGTTATGTCTCCGAAAAGATGGCGTCAAGTAGATTGACTTCTCGGAAGGGGCTTCCGGTAAAGATGATTGTTCGAAAGTTTTTCAATAGTTAATCAATCTTCAGTCTTCAAAATCCGTTAGTGGTTTCTTGAAAAAACATAGCTATGGTTTTATCAACAATTAATAATTAATTTTATAATAAAACTTTTTCTTCCTAATCAAACCTCAACAATTCAGCTTTTTACTCGTTGACTATGTGGTCTCTTCTACTTCTTTCTGAGAAGCATTTCAGCAACGCTCTCGCCGACTTACTCCCGATGATGATGGCATAGACCGTCGAAAGCTTGAGTTTAAGTTAAAAGAGTTTCCTTTTCTAAACTTTGCCTCCATCCCAAATAATTTCAAGGATATATACAGGATGTAAAGTTAGTAGTGGATCAACGGAAGTCGGGTGATAGAGGGCCTCAAAACCTATCGAATGAACCACTATATGTGTGGTCCGAAATTATATAGTTCAGGAGCTATTTGCAATTTTGTGAAATTTCGAAAAACAAAACAGATAATGAACTTTCAATCGCAATTACATCTACACCATTAGGTTTAGGGCTGTGATTTTTTTGAAATAAGCTATATGGTTAGTTTTAGCAATGGTTATGTCACTTTTCAACAGAATTAGAAATCAAAGCAAAAAATCTTGAATTCATTTTTTTGTTATTAAAATAAGTTTTAAAAGATTTTCACAAATATATCCTTAGTTATGTGATAATATATTATAATAATACCATACATTAAATATAATATATAATTATTGTATCGGCCTTGTATGGAGCCCTGTTGCAAATTCAGTCTGAAACGAGAAATATGTTTAATAAGTTAGATAATAAAAAAGTGCTACTTAGAAATTTCCCTTATATACCTAAAAATCACGTGGCCTATGAATGTACATATTTTTCCACTACAATTTACATTACCATGCTCAATTTAAAATTGATATTTTAAAAGCTTCTCCACTTGGGCAGTACAATGGACCTCGATATCGGATAATCGCAGGTCAAAGATGGCTGGAGTCCGTATATGGGCGCTTTGTGATCAATCTCCTTGTAGACTATTGTTAGATATGTTAAACAGTTTCTGGCGTGTCTGTGTAGGTGATGTCGCGTCCTTTTTCGCTGCTTTTTACCTGCTCAACTGTCGTAACATTTTCGCTAAACGCACGTGTTTGAACTTTTACATTGCGAAAGATATTACTATGTATTAGGGTGAACAGTGGCGTGGGTGATTCCGCCATCACCTTGTTTTTTTTTTGTTTTTTTTTTCCTGAAGAGTAAATGGAAAAGGTAAAAAAATCCAAGTATCGAGGAAAGGAAATAGTTTTTATTTTCATCGCTTCAATTCAAAACAGGCAGACTGCAGAATCGTTCATTTAATATAGGTGTAGAAGTGATATCAATGAAAGGGAATTATGGTAGTTTTGATTTTGTATTATTAACAAATAAGCTCATTTTCAGGCGGACAAATTATTTTCATGCAAAAATATTCTATGAACATCAATGATCCTGAGTATCACCCGGTAAGCCAACTCTGCGTTATATATAACCTGGCTACGTTTTTTTCTGGGAGGGTTAGACATAAAATAGGTGTGATATAACTTCTAGGGATTCTGAACCTTTGGATAAAATGTTTTTATGTAAGCCTTCCACATGTTAAGTATTGAATACCACATCTGTCATCAATTGTAATCAAAACAAAGCTTTTTGCCTTGTTCTTTGCTAAATGATTTCAGCTCAAGTGGCTTAAGGAAAAATTCTGAAGGATCCTTCGCAATCCTGACGGTTTTGCTTATTTTTGAAGAAATTGGTAGATTTGAATCTTGGCGAGTAGAATGAAACTTCTTTTTCCAGCAAAGTTAACACTCTGCAAACTAAAATAAGTTTATTAGAGCATTAACATTTTAAAGGAATTCTCGCTTTACGCTTAACCTTTTGGGGCCTACCGATCTTCTCGAATGAGCACCAGTTTATAGTCAATCAGACTCTGACGTTACCACGATAAATTCTTATGGCTTTTTATCAGCAATAAAATGATAGCCAACTAAATGGCTCAACTAGCAATGTGGGACCTTGCATCATGCACAACAAAGTTTGATTTGATGAATTTGATCAAATAATAGGACGTATTAGCTGATAGGTCATGTGAAGCTAAGATTAATTATGAAAATTATTTTTTTCTTGTAATATAATACAAGTATAGTTTAAAAATAATGAGATTCTTTTTGTCTTTCATGTATCGGCATTCTATAAGTGCTCTCTAGTTTCTTGGAGAGAGCTTATCCCTCAGGATAACAACCATACATAAACAGTACGTCACAACAAGTATCACACTGTATAAATGACAGGACCAGCTTGGTGCTACCTGGTGAGGTTATATCGATCAAAGCTATTATCGGACCTTGTCTAATTTTTTTGATTTACCAACCGGGAGGATAGATAGTCAAGTAACAGGTCGAATTTCTTCTTTTGCAGCAATCAAGTCAGTATTGCCACGATGATAATTTTAAATGAACGTTTTCATAATAAAAAGTTGAAGCGTTAACAACGCTTTACCCTTCTAAGAGCGTAGAAGAAATAGTAAGATCCACACATATCTATTTCGGATCATCATATTGTGCATTTTTCTGTCTTGTTCCACCGGGTAAACCTTGTAATACATCCGTAAGCCACTGTTATGCGTAAGATGATATTCCAAAACAAGAAAGACCTTCAGCAGATCTCGCGAGTGTGAATTGGCGGCAGAACAATGTTAACCAAACACATCAACACGTATCATATCCCCACAATTTTCGTGATCCAAGGGCGGCTTGACCCCGTCGCAATACTGCCCACACACCACTGCTTAGTACAAATAAAGCTGTCCTACTTATGTTGTTCGGCCAGCTTATTATTCGCGATGAACAACAATTTCTAAAGTCACGTACGCATAGAGTGCGTATATCATGTGCTGTATTTTCGTCAACTCCAATTGGCTAATTCCAGATGGGTGCCGGCAGTGACCCGACTACCTATAGTTTGGTCGACAAGTTCAATCTAAGCTAAAACTGAAGCATTCATCTCTTTGGTACGGTCTATAGAACTGTTGTGTTATAGTTGCGTAGTCAGTTGCTTGTAAATACAAGATAGTGTACATCAGGACTCTGGGAGCACAAAGTGAAGGAAATTGGACATAAACATTAGAAGTAGCAATTTATGTCATGAAGTATAAATACCTGTTATATTATTTCCTCACAAGACAAACAGCATGGTTCCTCTTAGATGTCGAAGTACTATTTTTCACATTTTAGATCGACAAATTTGAGGTAGAAGACTGTATAGCAATTAACCGGTATGCTGCGACAATTCTGGGTGGGTTTTCGCGTTCTCGGAGGGCTTTTGGCGTTTTCGCGACGATTGGCGAGGGTGACGTGTCGGGAACAAACGACAGATAACCTCATGCTCGTTTGTCGCTTTGGAGGCTGGATGACCTTTTATGAGGGGGGAATGCCTACCCCAGGCGAGCCCAGGTGTTTCTGTGTAATGATGGCTTCGCGCAATCTCGGCATGCTACAGGACCGTCCAATCCATTTTTGTCGCAACACATTGAATAGGAATGAAGAGGTGAAAAAATGACTGTCACCTGGAAGACACATAAAGAAAATATATTGTCATTATTGTCATTGTACTTGAAAAAGGCCACCGTGCTACAATAAATAGGAATTTGAAGATACTCGTACGTAGTTTGGTTCGGCCAGACAATGCAGTCCTATTACAAGTTTTAGTTTCTAAACTTGAAATCTAACAATCTATTGAAAAACGGTAACTGAGCGTAAAGAAGTAGATGTATGGGTAAGAATCTTCAGGAAGTGTCAGATTTATTCTCCTTCAAACCCCACACGGGCCGAGTCTGTAGAGCTATGCAGATACCAATCCTATTTCAGTTCTTAGAAGTACTAACCTGCGCCGGATTTCTGCATTCTGAGGCAGTGGTTACCTCCCGTATCTATGAAAAAACAAGTTCTTATAGGTCTTTTCTTCAAATTATCTGCGAAAATCGGATCTATAATTTAAATGCCTTATCTAAGCAACTATCATCTACGAAACTGTTTGCTAGAAAAGACGTTAGAAACACTACAAATATTAGAGCTACAACCAATCCCGGAAAACCCGCGGTGGTATTTTGAGGAGTTATAAAAAAGAGTCAGTAAAGGGATGCAAATTTGGAGAATTTTTGTGAGGTAATCTGGCGATAAAAAAATATCAGGTTATTTGTATTTTGCGGATTGTCAGAGATAATTGATCAGCACTTTAGACACGCTAAGCATTTTTGAATACATGAATGCCTGCCAAGTTCCGTATATCGATTACATATCTAGACTTACTACTCAGTGTACCCGGTACTTTTGTACGGAGAAAACTTCGCAGATTTCAAAGTAAATGTACCGGGTGCATATTGTAGCGCAGGTGCATTTCCATTTATTGAAGCTGCAGGCACATGTTGCGGGCCATGTGGCTCAGCACATGTGTCTGCAACCTATTGTACCTCAAACGTACCTCCAGGAGACCCTTTAAACTGTTCTGCATGCCATCAAGCATACTGATTAACGTATTCTACTTTAAGAGAACCGCTCACATACCGGCGCCCAAAAAATATCTAAAAGGTTCTAGTGCAATGAGACATGGGCAGAACAATAAATAAATATAGGAAGCTACTGTAAAAAGAGATAAAGTGTTTGGTTCAACTGCCTCACAGATGGCGCTAACGAATTTCAGATCCTTTTTGGCATCTCTCAAATGCATTTTCTATTTGGGTATCTATGTGAAATAGGCTAATCAGTGCTTGAATTTACCCAATTATAGTCTATTACCAAAACGGAAGAGGGGTAGCATAACACATTGTACACCACTGCTTTCGCGGCGTATCTTTAAATACGACCGGATACCCTCTTCGGTTTTAGTACCCGAGTATAAAATAGGTATTGAGAGGCACCACCAATAAGGGATTGATGATCCTAGCGGCTTCTATGTGATAATAGCAGAGCCAAGCAATTTAACTGTTTTCAAAGTAAATCCTAATTTCATTTTTTTTTGTTCTGCTACTGTGTCATAAATGGCGCTAGGATGTTTCAGATCTTTTTTTGTGCGTGATGGTTAGCTATGTTCAGGTAGAGTACCTACTTGCTACGATGGCAGTACCGTTCGCGTATCTGACATTATTGATGGATTATCCTATGTAGCAGCCTTTAGTCTACTAGCCTATAATGCGTATGTTGTTGCGATTGTTGGCTCTGACGGGGTTCACTAACCGATAACGATGCTACATCTACTACGAAAAATGCACTCATATACGCACACACTCGCTCTCTATGTGTAATATCTAAGTAAACAGTTAGGAATTATAAATATGCACATAACACTGATAGGAAACAGACGCGGCTGGCATTTTTCAGCTATCGGGAACGGGACGTGGGAGGAGACCCGTTCCAGGAAGATCAGATTGATTGCCAAAACAACATTTTGATGTTGGAGTCTGGATCTGCCGGATGTAGGACGTTATGCAGTTTTTAACCTAAATACGGCTTAATATAAAAGCGTAAGATTCGTAATTTCGAATACATCTTGAGATGAGCAATAGCTTGAAGTTATGCAAAATTGAAGCCGGATTCACGTAAAAGATAAAGTCAAACAAGTCAGAAACATAGAATTGTACTACCTTTGGAAGTTACATCTGACCGGCTTAGATCTTGAACTTAACTTTCTGCAAAAATGGATATTTATGATACGATAAATAATATGTACATTGAGACAACACAACCGTGATAGGGTATTGAATCACTTGATGCACTAATCAAAATTTTCCATATACTAAACCTTTGAAACAATAGTGCAAAAGTGCAGTGTATCGTCGTTCCTTTACTTAATACCTCCCTATTCGCGGAAAACCTTATTGGCATTGACAATCAACATGTGCGATTGACAGATATCTCCCTCAAGGCAAAATGCAGCCTTGTTCGGTTTGGGGACAATTTATTGGCTTATATAGACATTAACTTGAGGCTGTTTCATTTCACTGTTTTTCTCAAGAAAGGCGGTCTCCTGAATAAGGATACCGCTGATCAAAAAAGTCCGCCTGCCTGCCGACAATTTGTAGGACGCCTTCATGGCCTGCTTGATTGTCATGGTATTTTCGCTCCTTCAGAAAGGCTGGGATATTTCTAGATTTCTACTGTTCCGTATCAACGTCACCGCCTCCTATTGTGAGGCTATGTTTTTTGAATTGTAGGAAATTTCAGATTATATAGATCAAAAGCATGAACAATTTGATGCAAATGGGTATTTGTAACATAACCTCATAAAAGAGTGCTGGCACGGAAGCGTAGAGAACTATGAAAATCAAGGAGGCCATAAAAGTGTCCTACAATTGTAGGAACGACTGACGATACGGCCCTTAGTACTTGACGACTTGATTTGAGCTTGACTTGTTTTCAAATCGAGTAAATTCAAGTAGCTTGAAAATCAAGTCAAATAATAGTGAATCCCTACTTTCAACGCATCAATTTGCAGAAGTGGCATACAAAATTCAGAAAGCTCGAAGTGTTGTTTCATTCGCCACAAAGTAAAATAACGGTTCAGCAGACCTAGTCAATTTGCAAATGTATCTGCTGTGCCAATTAGCATGTAAACAACCTTCACGGCTACTTATAACCACATTATAAAGAATTCACAGGTCGACGCAAATTTGTAACAGGTATTTGCATTCTCTACCTGTGACGAATCCTGGGCGACCCATCTGAAATTCCCGTTTGATTAAAAACAAACCCTCATTCGACCAAACACTAAATCTGACCGACACCACAGAGAACGAGACAAGAATGTGAAAGCTTTTTCACGTTTCATCTAAAGTCGGAGATTTTTGCTGCTATTTTATACCTTCGTTATCTAAACCACCACATTCGAAAAAATAGTCCTAGAGCAGATTGCTGTTTAGTTTTCTTTCCATTAGTAGCAGCTTACTTGTCTCGTATGCGTACTTTCAGTAACTGATATGCGATTAAATGAAATGAAAACAAATATTGAGAGATGAAGCTTATTACTTATATTTACCGTTATTGCTTTGTTCCTACTTTATCCACAAAGGAGGAAGATGATTTTTGTACGGAAATGATGAGAAGTGTTCGATATCGTATATGGGAAATACATATGCTGGAAACGGCAAACAAATATATGTGAATCCCTCATATCCCAGAAGTATTTTCAGTTTCTGTCTCAGAATGACAATGGGATTGAGAGCATTACCATTACACATTACTAACAAAACATGTAACATTTATAACTACGCTCTATATACAATAAGTAACTGGATAATCCTTAAAAAAAGCGTTTTTGTCCTTGGCATAGTAGTAAAACCGCATAGAAATTTCATCAAAATCCGAGCGGTACTTTCCAAGTTGCAGGCGGTCCAAGGATTAGTGGACAGACAGACAGACAGAAATAAGCGACATGGTTTTTGGTAACGCATATATCATATAACATCCAAAAACATAATACTTCATTCGCGAGTAGAATACTTCGTCGCCAGTGTGGCGTGGGAGGTAAAATGTTTAATCTAAAATAAGCTTGTTTTCCAGATCGCAATATTTGGGAAGTAAAGCCATTTAATAAGAAAAATAAAATCTAAGTAATCTATGGACCGAGTCCCAAAAAGTGCAAATCCTTATGCCTGAACGGAATCTTAGATAGCCCTAGGACTATTTGTCAAATCTGGCGGTTTAGATAAAATAAGGAAGGCGGTATAATAGCGGCAAAAATTTCAGACCTTCGAATGACTATAACGGTACCCGGAGGAGAAGGTAGGTAAATTTAGGACCATTTTTATCAGATCGGCATTCGTGAAAAAAAAAATACGAAGGGGTTCGCATCTACATCAACCCGTTATTTTTGGCTGCGTGGGAACCTGGAGTTGGTATTGCCATTCCAACCCACCTGTTGCAATTAGTGGCTATGGGGTGAGTGATATATACCCGGCTCCAGATGGGTCCTTAAGCAGATTATATGTTCATCTTGAATCAACGGGAAATGGCGAATGGGGTGTGGTTATCTTTAATTAGATAAAAGTACGGTTATAAGGCTTGGAATGGGGATGCATTATGGAATGTAGCTACCTAAGCTGCCTTGTTGGACGCTTGGGTACAATTGGCGCTTGTCCGTTGTAATTTTTACGAGTTATCCACAAAATCGAAAGATACAAGTGCTATTAATTTATGTGGTAGTTTACTGACAGGCACAATTGTTGGTTCAAATCATCAACATCTTACCCAGAGGCAAGAGGTAGACCTTAATGGTCTAAAAATAGAGATATAACGTTGATGTAGTCCAAAAAGCCAAGTTAGTGTACCTGATTATTGACAAAATTTCTTTTTTTTAACCGGATCTATCATATACTTCACTAAGTTGGATTTAT